ACACGTAGGGTCTCAGAAACTTCAGTGCAACAGAAAAAAAGCAGAGGCAGTACAAGGATTGGTAACACAAAAGAACTATTATTATCAACCCAAATAATCCAAAATAATCTACAGAAAAACTACTGCAATAATAAGAGTTTGGCAAGGTAGTGGAATACAAAAGCCAATATATAAACCTCCATAAAGGGCCAATAGTACAGTGACAAACAATTAAAAAGTACATTTTTTTAAACATCCTATTCATAATAGCTTCCAAAATAAGACACATAGGAATAAATCTAACCAAAGATACATTTTTATATGGAAAATCTAAAGCTTTATTGTAAACAAAACATTTACTAATGTAAAACAACTGAAGCACTTAGTAAGATATAAATGAAGTGATATCAAATATTTATGAGGTGTGTATATATATTCTACATGCATTTCTACCTGAAAAAATCTATAAAATAATTGCAGTTCTAATCAAAACACATAACTCAACAAACTGATCCTAAAATTCATATGAAAGAAAGAAAAGATGAGATCCAGGAATAGCCAAAACAATTTTGAAGAAAATAAAGAAGGGGTTGGGGACCATCCTACCACATATCAAGAATTTTTATAAAGTTTTAAGAATTAAAACAATATTGCATACCAATATTGTTTTATGACAATCTACCAGACCAAGGGAACAAAATATTTAAACCAGAAATAAACACAAATTTAAAAATTTGATCAATTCAAGGCAATGCAATATATGATAGAGGTGATATCATAAATCAGCCAGTCTGAGAATACTTGGTTGGCTATGGGGGGGGGGGGGCTGGGGAATAGATCCACAACACATACAAAAATGAAAATAAATTCCAATGAATTAAAGGCCTAAAAGTGATAAAATTTGAAAACTCATACAATATAAGAAAATATCTTTATTGCTGAAGTAGAGGCGCAAAAAATTCAGTATATAAGAATAAAAATATGTGTGTCAAATTATTCTGTGTACTTTGCAAAGGTAAGAAGACCTCAGTCTGGGAGAAAATATTGCAAAATATGGATAGACAGACAGATATACCAATCTGAAAGACAAATCCAATGAAAAAATACACAACAATGTGAATAGGCAATTTTATAGAACTGAAAATGGCCAACAGATTTATGAAAATATGTTCAATTACACTAGTAATCACAGCAATCCCTATTAAGACAAGATATAAAATTTTTTTTATTTAAAAAAATTTGTCTAAGTTTATTTATTCTTGAGAGATAGAGAGAGACAGAGCATGAGTAGGGGAGGGGCAGAGAGAAAGGAGGAGACACAGAATCTGAAGCAGGCTCCAGGCTCTGAGCTGTCAGCATAGAGCCCGATGCCAGCCTCAAACTCACGAACTGCGAGATCATGACCTGAGCTGAAGCCGGACGCTTAACCGACTGAGCCACCCAGACACCCCAAGACAAGATATAATTTTATACCCTTCAGGTGGGCAAGAATTACAACTTTAAAAATACCAAGACTTGGTAAGGTTATAAGGGCATGTAACTATTATATATTGCTGGGGAGAATGTAAAGTGAAATAATCACTTACTAAATATAAAGATGAGGAACACTAAACCCAAGCCATTCCATTTCTAGGTATAATCTCTAGGAACACTCTCATATATGTGCCCAAGAAGACATGTACACAGAAATTCAATGCTGTAATGTTTAAAATGATGTAAAATTAGAAATAACCAAAAGGTCCATTGATGGATAAGTACATTATAGTATAGAAACACACTTGAAAACAGCTAAAATGAAAGGATAAATGAATGAATGGATAAATCGCAAAACCATATGTCAAGTAGGAAATTAAAGCAGTAAAAGTATATACATTTTATACACTTTTAAAACCCAAAAAGAAAAATTTTGCATTGCTACAGGCATATGCATACATATAAAAAGGTTTTTTTTTTTAAGTGCATGAGGATGATACATATCAAAGATCAAAGACTACCTCTAGGCAGTCTTTTTCTAGGGAGAAAGAGTGGGAAAAGCAAATGATGGGGTGTGGGTGGGAAAAAGTGGCAATTTAACAGCATCTGCACTTTATTTCTTTAAAGAAAATCTGAAGCAAACATGACAAAATGTTACTATTTGTTAAAGCTAGGTGGAGGGTACAAAGGTGTTAATCATACTTTTTCAATCTTTTCAATATATTTGAAATATTCCATAATTTAAACATTTTACATAGAAAAGAGAAAGTCTGGCAGTATGCATGATATACACATCTTAAAAGGTCTATCCTATAAAACAAGGATAGAAGCTAGAGGAGGAGATGTTTGTTTTTACTGGGAAAAAAAAATGAAAACTCAGTTAAATAATCACAGAATAGCCATACAATGAAATGTCATGTAACCACAAAAAAATTATATAGCTCAGAAGCACAGTTATTAACCCAGAAAGATGCTGACAACATACCAAGTCAGGGGGAAAAGGGGTATAAAAATATAGGTTTTTGTTCTTTTTAAAAATTTTTTTCAATGTTTTATTTTGGAGAGAGAGAGAAATAGTGGGAGAGGGGCAGAGAGAGAAGGGAGACAGAGGATCCAAAGTGGGTTCCACGCTGACAGCAGAGAGCCCAATGCAGGGCTGGAGCCCATGAACCGTGAGATCATGACCTGAGCCATTTCAGCTACCAATTGAGCTACCCAGGTGCCCCAAAAGTATAGGTTTTCAACAAAGTCAGGAAATGGTTAAACAAACCTCCCATATGCACTAACAGAGGCCCAAGTCCCACTAACGCACCTGCCATATTTTAATCTCCTTATCAACTTGTGTCCGTGGAAAGAAATGAACTACAAGCAGCCCAATAATAATAAGTACAATAGATTCATTCCAGTGTTTCAAACAAGAAAGCTTTTGCTATAATACTGAAACAGAAGAGCTGCATTCAAAGCCAAAAACAATTATTTCCCAATGTTGGTGCCAACAATCCCCACCTTTGCAGATGAAACCTGCTCTATTTAACCATCCAGTTGGAGAACTAGCACAGAAGCGTAAGTTGCTGATCATATATACCAAAAATCCAGGTAAAATATAACATACTACAATCAAAATAAACTGTCATGTATCAGTGAAATCCAAAGCTATAGTCACAAAGTGATGTCATATTTGTAAGAGGAACGAGTGGCAGCAAGAAGTTACTGAAGGACTTTCGAGAGAGAATAAAATGTTTGCCTGTTATATTTATATCTTCTGATAAGCTGGAAATTGACTTGGGTACTAGAAAACCTGTGCTCCCTATTTTGTTCACTAAAAGTTGTCGAAAGGTCTAAGAATCATAATGGATTCTATTTTATGAAAAGTACAGTAGCCTATGAAAGGAAAACTGTTGGGGCGCCTGGGTGGCGCAGTCGGTTAAGCGTCCGACTTCAGCCAGGTCACGATCTCGCGGTCCGGGAGTTCGAGCCCCGCGTCGGGCTCTGGGCTGATGGCTCAGAGCCTGGAGCCTGTTTCCGATTCTGTGTCTCCCTCTCTCTCTGCCCCTCCCCTGTTCATGCTCTGTCTCTCTCTGTCCCAAAAATAAATAAACGTTGAAAGAAAAAAATTAAAAAAAAAAAAGAAAGGAAAACTGTTTCCTCTTCTCACAACACTTCTGACTCCAAATGTGTATGGGGTTTTCACACAGCAATCAATTCTACAACTCTCCAGATACCAAGTGGGTGTTCTACAAACAATTCTGACACCAACTACCTGAGTTAGTGCAGACCCCACAGACCAAGGGCTCACTCCCACAAGACTGCCCCCCACTTCACCTGATCTTAGCCAAAAGGCCGAGAAGCAATTAAGACTGACCTCCCACTTCAGACACCAATTGCAAGTAATGGGTACCCATGTACCCATGGACGCTTCTGTCCAACAGGGCTAGAAATCAGGGTTCCCATGACCCCCTCCTCATGTTTGATAATTTGCTACAGCAGCTCACAGAACTCACATACTTACATTTGGTAGCTTATTATAAAGGATATTATAAAAGATATAAATGAACAACCTAATGAAGAGGTCCATGGTGTGAGGTCAGAAGGTTCCCAGACCCAGGAGCCTCTGTTCCCAGGACGGTTGGAGCACACTGACTCTCTTTACACAGGCTTCATCACATAAGCATGACCTTTGACCTAGCAACTCAATCTCCAGCCCTTCTACCTACCCCAGAGGTAGAGGGGTAGAGTGGGAGGTGTGGGGGAGAGGCTGAAAGTTCTAACCCTCCCATCACAAGGTTGGTCCCTCTGGCATCCAACTGCCCTCCTAAGGGCCCATCAGTCACTCGTTAGCATACAAAAAGACACTCATTAATTTCAGAGATTCCAGTGGTGTTAGAAGCTCTCTGGGACTGGGAGTGCCTGGATGGCTCCATCGGTTGAGCACCCAACTTCTGCTCAGGTCATGATCTTGTGGTTTCTGTGTTCACGTCCCACATCGGGCTCTGTGCTGATAGCTCAGAGCCCAGAGCCTGCTTTGGATTCTGTGTCTCTGTCTCTCTGCCCTTCCTTTGCTAGTTCTCTCTCTCTGTGTCACTCAAAAATAAGTAAACATTTAAAAAAAATTTTTTTAATAAAAAAAAAAAAGAAGCTCTCCAGGCTGGGAAGTGGAAACTAAGACCAAATACTATAACCAAAAAAAAAAAAAAAGCACTCCTATCACCCCTATTCCTCAGGAAATTACAGTTTTAAAAGCTCTTGTGCCAGGAACTGAGGATGAAGACCAAATATATATTTCTACTATTTCATAATATTATACATACAATAAAGGGTAAGAAGTTAGAAATCTTTTTTTTATATATACTTATTTAAGTTATTTCTACCCTCAATGCGGAGCTCGAGCTCACAACCCCAAGATCAAGAGTCACATGCTCTTCTGAGCCAGCCAAGTGCCCCAAATGTTAGAACTCTTAAGAACAAATATTTTCACTATTATTCCTTTACTGTGAAAATATTTCTTGTATTATTTATACTTTGATTAAGTATTATTGAGACTGCTAAGACCAACAAATATAAACTGGATTTATTGTGCAAAACTTGAGAATGGCTCAGTATATAACAGTAGTTGGATATAAGGTATACTAAATCTCAGCTTCCAGAAGAGTTGGTTTTGAACTCAATCACCCTTTAAGAGAAGACATACCAGCTCGCATAATTTCATCAACCAGGAGAATGTTGGTGGCAATCACTGTGCTGAGGAAAAAGATAATAGGGTGAGTAGAGTCTACCAACCCACTCCCATCTTTTCCCCTGGCAATCTTTAGCTACTAAAAGTACTTTGTTCATCAATGATGTTGGTATGAGATCTTATGAGACAAAGCGATTATAAATACAAACATCAACTCTTGTATTGTAATTTCAACTCCTTTGCTGATAAAGTAAAAGTTTGATTTTAAATTGTAGCAAAACTGAGCTCATTTTTGGCACATCATTTGCCTTTCCCCCCTATGCATGTGGTACTATTTTAGTTAATTTCCCTCTTTCCCTTCCCCCTCAAACAAACAGTAAGATAAACATTTCTTATATATCACACTACTAGAATTAAAATGGAAAAGGGACTGAAAAAATGACAGAAGCTAGTGTTAATAACTGGATACCACACCTTTTCATACACTTAACCATTTTTCTACTACAGAGTGGTAAAAATAATAGACAAGTTTTAATGTTATTATGTCCCTAAAAGTCTTTATTTTTATTCATATGAATTTACCAAGAGTGAAGAAGTTGTTTTTTCACACAATAGTTATCCCAAACTCCTGCATCAGCTGCTAACATTGGCTCACCTGCAAATAAAAACAATGTTAACAATACAATCTTGATATATTCTGTTAATACTGGTTATATATTCTAACAGTACTTAATGTACCAACAAAACTATAGTGTCCAGGTCACAATGAACTCCATGGTATCAAATCAAATCCAGTGGCCAGTTCTCAGGCCTCATCTATCAGCAACATTTAACACGGCCTCCTCACTACTCTTTCTCACTTGCCTCCCAGGCCACCATGTTCAGCCTGACTTTTTTCTTTTTTGTTAGTGGCTCCTTTTCTGTTGACTTTCCTGGATTTTCCTCTTCTTCCCTTAATTTTGGAATACCCAAAAGCTCAGTCCTGGATTCTTTCCTTCTCTCTCTACACTCACTCCTTAGGCGATTTCATCCAGTCTTCTTGATTTAAACCATGTGCACTTTGGCAACTCTCAAGTTTTTATCTCCAATCCAGACCTTTTTTTTTTAAGTTTTTCGTTTAATTATTGATTTTTGAGACACACACACACACAGAGTGCGAGGCGGGGAGGAGCAGAGATAGAGGGAAACCCAGAATCTGAAGCAGGCTCCGGGCTCCAGGCTGTCAGCACAGAGCCCAGGGTGGCTTCGAACTCACGAACCAGAAGATCTTGACCTGAGCGGAAATCGGTGCTTAACCAACTGAGCCACCCAAGTGCCCCCAACCCAGAATTATTTCTTGAGCTCCATACTCATACTTCCAATTGTCTGTTTCACTTGAAAGTCAAAGACACTTCAAACTTAGCTTTGCCAAAACTCAGTGCTGACCTCCCCCTACACAACCTGCTGCACCCACAGTTCTTCAATGAGGTTAATGGCAATTTCAACCTTCCAGCTGTTCAGTGGACTTCCCTCCACAGAACAACCACAGTGATCCTTTTAAACATAATTAGGCCATGTCCCACCTCTACTAAAAATTGCTCCCTATCTCACTACAGTCAAAGTCAAAGTCCTTGGACTGGCCCACATGTCCCTGCATGATCTTTCTATTACTTCTCTCATCTCCTTCCTCCTCCTCAAAAACTTCAAACACTGGCTTTTCCACTGGCTGTTCCCTCTGCCTAGGATACTCTTTCCCTAGTTCCCCAACATGGCTACTTCATCACTTCCTTTGATTTCTTTCTACAGACATATTCTCAATTAGCTCTACCCTGACCACCCTCTCTTTTTAAATTGCAAACTTCTGGGTCACTGGAGTATAACCTCTTTCTTTACTGAGCAGCTAATTTTTCTTCACTTTCTTACCTGTATTCAAGTCTATGCCAACAGGTTGTTTTGATTCTGAATGTTCAGCCTGAACTTTTACTAGAGTTTCCTGCAGGTCATAACCAGAATTCTGAGCAAGAACCTTAAGGAATAAAAATAATAATAAATATATGTATGAAATACCTTCACACATATATTTGAATATCAAAGATAATAAATAAGGCACTGCTCTCTAGTCTTGTGAAAACACACTTATAATACAGTAATCCCCTCCTTTTAAAGAATTCCATTCTTTGAGAGAGAGTGCATGCACACAAGCAAGCGGGCAAAGGGCAAAGGGGGAGGGAAATAAAGAATCTTAAGCAGGTTCCATGCCCAGCACAGAGCCCAACTCAGGGCTCAATCTCACAACTGTGAGATCATGGCCTGAGACAAAATCAAGAGTCTAATGCTTAACCAACTGAGCCACCCAGGTACCCTTGAAGAATTCTGTCCTTAATCTAAAACAAATTAGTATTTTATGTCTCTAGCAGTTTTTATATTTACTTAAACATTTTCCGTATGTACATCACACTAAATTCTGAGGACATTATAGTGCCCCCATCCCCACCCCACTACAGTAATTTCCCTCCTTGCAAAAGATCTCTTAAAAAATGGAAAGAGGGACACCTGACTGGCTCAGTTGGAAGAGTGTGTAACTCCATCTCAGGGTTGTGAGTTTGAGCTTCACATTGGGTGTAGAGAATAAATACATAGATAGATAGATAGATAGATAGATAGATAGATAGATAGATAAAGTAAAGAAGTAGAATGGTATGGTTTCTTCTCGTCCCTCTAGCCACACATTTTCCAGCTTTTCCTAGATACCTGCTAAAAGAACCCTTCATATTTGCAGGATGCTTGTGTCCCTTACCAACATGAAGAGAGTCATGACCTGTGACAACAGGAATGGAGCTAATAGCACTCCAGACCAGGTTTATTTCCAAGTAGTACAAAACCAACAGCTGATGAGTAAGGAACCACCACTGTATACCAGGCTTACCGGTTTCTGTCAACTACAGGATCATTACTTAACTGACTTTGCTGTTTTGGGGAAAGAGAAAAATAGATATCTGATTCTCAAAGATTCCACAAATTGTGAATAATTTAAAGCAATTACCAAAGAGACTTTGCTAGCATTGTTCTTTTTTTTATTTTTTTATTAAAAAAATTTTTTTAATGTTTATTTATTTTTGAGACAGAGAGAGACAGAGCGTGAACAGAGGAGGGGCAGAGAGAGAGAGGGAGACACAGAATCTGAAACAGGCTCCAGGCTCTGAGCTGTCAGCACAGAGCCCAACGCAGGGCTCGAACTCACAGATCATGAGATCATGACCTGAGCCGAAGTCAAACGCTTAACCGACCGAGCCACCCAGGCGCGCCGCTAGCATTGTTCTTAATGTTTTCAATTCATGGTAATAACATCTTTGACATGGTCTTCTGTGTTTCTAAGTGGTTCACAACCAGATTAAGGCAAAGGAAAAGGAATGGTAGTCTGTTTCCTTTGTTGACACATGGAAAAAATACCTGGTTTCTCTCCTTTTCCAGGAATTATAATGAAAATGACAAAAGCATGCTAGTATTTGGAGTTCTCATTCCCACAGTTTAAAATAATAATTAATACTTTGGATACCACCAACAAAACAAAAATCTACGCAAAAGTCTAGTTAAATTTTAAGTCCTAAACTTTTTCATTATGATTAATCATAAACCATTTTTGAAGGAAATTTCTGGACTTACTTCCACTTTTGGAGCTCAGAGATTAGCAAGGGGGTAACTTAGTGATTTCAGGAAACTCTGACAAGGATTCTGAGCTATTATCCCAAAAGTTTCCCTGCTTTTGCTGTAAAATATCTTAGACAAAACTGTGTGGGGAAATGCAAATTAAAACTCTCTCTACTCTGGTGTTAGATAATGTGGGCAATTTGTAATCCAACACCCTTAGATCTAACCAGTTGTTCTTTAGCCATTAGGATAGTTGTACCTTAGGAATAATGAGTAAGGCATTAGCAAAAGCTTGTACTCCAAGACGAGCTCTTCCTTTTACACTATGCTTGTAATTAACAAGAGCTTCAGCTATTGCCACTTCAACTGCACCTGCTCCTGGAACCACACAACCTATTGGAGGAAAAAAGATTGGCAAGACATTCCATACAGGGAAAAATAATTAAACAAAATAAACAAACAAAAAAAATAGAGAAAAAAGCAATTAGCTATTCAGGTGTGTTCTAATACCTATTATATGGCCTACATCTAAAATATACCTAAGTAGACACAGAAATAAAGTAAGTTGCATAGTTCAGTGATTACTTAGATGTCTTATGAAGCATCCTGAAGTTACATACCATTAAAAAATTAGGCATGGTACAGACAACTGGCTGCAACCAGCTTATTTGTTTGTAAAAGTAGACATTCTTCCCACCTTCATCTTATTCCTTTATGACTACATGCAAAAGGTAATTATTTATCATGTATAGGGACAGGTAATAAATTGTAACATCCGATTTGAAAAAAATTTAGGCCAAGATGATTTGGCCACCATTTTGGTATGGAATTCTTGGGACTTAATGAAGTATTTGTTTTCTATACTGAAGCAAAACCCAAACTGCTACCTAAGGAAAAAATATAGGTGTTTTCATTATTCTAAGGCAAAAGCTCTGTTTAAAAACATCAATTTTCACAACAGGATATGACTTTTATACCTGCCGGTATGGTTTTATAAAGTTTATGACTCTCCTTTGCATCAGCAAATTTGTTTTGGAATCACCCATCTTTAAAACAAAACAAGAAGAATCTCTCCTTTGTCCCACATCATTTTTTTTTAATATTTGTTTATCTATTTTGAGAGAGAGAGAGTGAGCAGGAGAGGGGCAGAGAGAGAAGGAGAGAAAGAATCCCAAGCAGGCACCGCGCTGTCAGCACAGAACCCAATGCAGGGCTTGAACCCATGAACTGTGAGATCATAACCTGGGCCGGAATCAAGAGTAGGATGCTTAAAATGACTGAGCCACCCAGGTGTCCCTATCCCACATCATTTTTTAATTACTAGCCCCTTCTTCTGCTTCTCTGTACAACAAAACTGTTCAAAAGAGTTGTCTACCCACAAGATGATTGCATCCTTGCTTCCCATTCACACTTTTAAAAAGTTAAAAGCTCCCGAGGCGCCTGGGTGGCTCACTCTATTGAGTGCCTGACTTCGGCTCAGGTCATGATCTCACAGTTTGTGGGTTCGAGCCCCACATTGGGCTCTGTGCTGACATCTCAGAGCCTGGAGCCTGTTTCAGATTCTGTCTCCCTCTCTCTCTGCCCCTCCCCCACTCGCACTCTGTCTCCCTCTGTCTCAAAAATAAATAAACATTAAAAAAAAATTTTAAGTTAAAAGTTCCCTGTGGTGTAACACTGTATGTTAATTATACTGGAATTAAAACATAATTTTAAAAAACTTTTTTAAGTTCCTGTGAAATACTGAATATACACAGAAGAATATTTATATGTGTAAAGTACAAAGAATAAATGCACAAATAAATGTACTCATGTACTTCCCACCCGGCTTAAGAAACAGAACATTGCCAGTAACTTTGAAAACCTCCCTGATCCCATTCTGTGAAAACGCAACATATCACAATTTGTGGGATGCTACTCAAGCAATACCTGAAGAGAAACTTATATCACTAAACACCTATGACCCACCTAGAAAGAAGGGTCTCAAACCAATGACCTCAGCTTTCACCTTAAGAACTAGAAAAGAGTTGGGGCGCCTGGGTGGCGCAGTCGGTTAAGCGTCCGACTTCAGCCAGGTCACGATCTCACGGTCCGTGAGTTCGAGCCCCGCGTCGGGCTCTGGGCTGATGGCTCAGAGCCTGGAGCCTGTTTCCGATTCTGTGTCTCCCTCTCTCTCTGCCCCTCCCCCATTCATGCTCTGTCTCTCTCTGTCCCAAAAAATAAATAAACGTTGAAAAAAAAAAATTTAAGAACTAGAAAAGAGCAAATAAAACCTAATATAAACAGAAAAAAGAAATAATAAGAGTGGAAATCAATGAAATAAAAATGAACAGTGTCCAAAAAAAAAATAAACAATGTCAGAAATGAAAAAGGTAATATCACTATAGATTCCACAGACATGAGAAGCATAATAGTAAGGGAATATTATGAACAATTTTATGCTAATAAATTTGAAAAGTTAAGGGATTAGCAAACTTTCTATAAAAGATCAGATATAAATACTTCAGGTTCTATGAACCACACCATCTCTTTTTAACTAATCAACTCTGCCACTATAGCACAAAAAGAGCCACAGACAATACATACATGAATGGGTATAGCTGTACCCCAATAAAACTTTATTTACCAAAACCAGGCAGCAAAAAGGATTTAGCTCATGGGCAGTAGTTTGATCATCTTAACAGATGAAATGGACAAATTTCTTGAAAGACACAAACTCAAAAAAGACAGATAACCTGAATACCCCTGTCTCTATTAAAAAGACTGAATTCATAGTAAAATTTTCCTATTAAGAAAACTCCAGACCCAGATAGCTTTACTGGTGAATTCTACCAAACATTTAAGAAATAAATACCAATTCTACACAAGATTTCAACACTTTCAGAAAATTAAAGAGGAGAGAATACTTTCCAACTCATTCTATGAGGTCACCATTATTCTAACAGCAAAAAAGATAAAGGCATTACAAGAAAGAAAATACACAAGTACCCCTTATGAACATAGATATAAAAATTCTTAACAGCATAGAGGCGCCTGGGTGGCTCAGTCGGTTAAGAGTCCTACTTCCACCCAGGTCATGATCTCAGAGTTCATGAGATCTAGCCCTACCTTGGGCTCCATGCTGGGCATGGAGCCTCCTTAGGATTCTCTCTCTACCTCTCTCTCTGCCCTTCCCTCATTTGCACTCTCTCTCTCTCTCTCTCTCTCTCTCTCTCTCTCTCTCTCTCAAAATAAATAAATAAAACTTAAAAAAAATTCTTAACAGCATATTAGCAAATCAAGTCCAATAATATATAGAAATACATAGCAGCATTACTTACAATACCCGAAAGATGAAGTGATCTAAGTTTCCATCACTGGATAAATAGATAAATAAAATGTGATTTATACATACAATACAGTATTATTCAGCCCGAAGAAGCAAGGAAATTCTGACACATCATTCAAGGATGAACCTTGAAGACATCGTGCTAAGTGAAATAAGCCGGCCCAAAAAGACAGATACTGGATGACCTCAAATGAGGTACATAGAATAGTCAAATTCATAGAGACAGAAAGCAGAATAGTGGCTTCCATGAGCTGGGAGGAGAGGGGAATGGAGAGTTATTATTTAATGGGTATAAAGTTTCAGTACTTAAGATGGAAAATGTTCTGTGGATACATGATCATGATGGCTACACAACAGTGTGAAAGAAAGGATTTATTGCCACTGAACCGTAATACTTACAAATGATTAAAATGACAAACTATATATTTATATCCACAATTTAAAAAAAATAATTTTAAAAATTGTAATCCATTTTTAAAGAAAATAATACATCATAAGTAAGTAGGATTTACCCCAAGAATGTAAGTTTGGTTGAACATTTGAAAATCAATGTAATTTACCACATTAATAAACTTAAAGAGAAAAAACATGTAATCATCTCAATAGATCAACAGAAAAGCAACTGACAAAATCCAACATCTATTCATGATAAAAGGTCTCAGCAAGAGAGGGGAACTTCCTCAATATGACAGAGGGCTTCTATGAAAACCCTACAGCTAAATATCATACATAATAGAGAAAGGCTGAATATTTTCCCCCCATTATCAGGAGCAAGGAAAGAATGCCCACTCTCACTATTTCCATTCAACAATGTATTGCAGCTTCTAGCCCATGAAATAAAGAGAAAAAGGAAATAAAAGATATCCAGATTGGAAAGAAACAAGTAGAACGGTCTTTATTAGCAGACAACATGATTATTTATATAGACAACTCAATTAAATCTGTAGGAAAGCTACTAGAATAAGTGAGTTTAACAAGGTTGCAGAATTCAAGATCAGTAAACAAAAATCAGTATCTATATGTTAATCAGAAATTGAAATTTTAAAAACATCATGTATAGGGGCGCCTGGGTGGCGCAGTCGGTTAAGCATCCGACTTCAGCCAGGTCACGATCTTGCGGTCCGTGAGTTCGAGCCCCGCATCAGGCTCTGGGCTGATGGCTCAGAGCCTGGAGCCTGTTTCCGATTCTGTGTCTCCCTCTCTCTCTGCTCCTCCCCCGTTCATGCTCTGTCTCTCTCTGTCCCAAAAATAAATAAACGTTGAAAAAAAAATTTTTTTAAATAAATAAATAAAAACATCATGTAAATAGGATCAAAATTCATGAAATACATAGATACATCTGAAAAAAATATATGCCACTAAAAATCACAAAATATTGCTGGGTTAAAAAAATATATATATATATACATATATATACACATATACATATGTATATGTATATGTGTGTGTATATATATATATATATATGAGTGTGTGTGTGTATATATATATATATATATATATATATATATACACATATATATATATTGCTGAGACAGAGTCAAGAAAGCCCAAATAGGGGCACCTGGAGAGCTCAGTCAGTTGAGTCTGACTCTTGATTTTGGCTCAGGTCATGATCTCCTGGTTCATGGGATCCAGCCCTGCATCAAGCTCTGTACTAACAATGTGGAGCCTGCTTGGGATTCTCTCCACCTCTCTCTCTCTCTCTCTACGTCTCTCCCTCCCTCTCTCTCTCTCTCTCAAAATAAATAAATAAACTTAAAAAAAATAAACTTATTTTAAAAAAAGAAGGCTGAAATAAATAGATATACCATGACTCAATATTGTTAAGATATCAAGATAGCAATTATTCCCAAAATGTTCCACAGATTCAGTGAAATTCTAATCAAAATCTCAGCAGTCTTTTTAGTAGTGACAAGCTGATTCTAAAATTCATATGGAAATGCAAAAGATTTTAAATAACCAAAATAACTTAGAAAAGAACAACATGAGAGGATTAACATTGCTGATTTCAAGACTTATTATAAAGTTACAGTGATCAGGATAGTATATTAATATTGAGCCAGACAAACAGATTAGTGGAACAGAATAAAAACCCAGAAATAAAACCACACAAATATGGACAAATGGTCTTCATCAAAGATGCAAAAGCAACACATTGGTGAAAGAAGAGTCTTTTCAACAAACATAGCTGTAACACTTTGATCAAAGGTATATTATGGTATACCTAAGAGTTGATTTGCTGGGTCATATAGTATCTCTGTGTTTAACTTTGAAAAAAGAAAAAATTTTTAATGTTTATTTATTTTTGATAGAACACAAGGCGGGGAGGAGAAGAGAGAGGAGACACAGAATCTGAAGCAGGCTCCAGGCTCTGAGCTGTCAGCACAGAGCCCAACGCGGGGCTCAAACTCACAGACCGTGAGATCATGACCCGAGCCAAAGTCGGACACCCAACTGACCAAGCCACCCAGGTGACCCTAATTTTTAAATTTTTAAATGTTTATTCATTTTTGAGAGACAGAGACAGAGTGCAAGCAGGAGAGAGGCAGAGAGAGAGGGAGACACAGAATACAAAACAGGCTCCAGGCTCTGAGCTGTCAGCACAGAGCCCGACGTGGGGCTCGAACCCACGGACCATGAGATCATGACCTGAGCTGGTCAGTCACCCAATGAACTGAGCCACCCAGGCACCCTGTCTCTGTGTTTAACTTGTTAAGGAACTCCCAGTTATTTTCCAACAGTTCCCACCAGCAATGTTGAAGGCTCCAATCTCTCCACATCTTTGCCAACATTTATTATCATCCAGGTTTTTTGATTTATAGCCATCCTAACAGTTGTGAAATGGTATCTCTTTATGGTTTTCATTTTCATTTTCCCAATGACTATGTTGAGCATTTTCCATGTGCTTATCGTTCTATTTTAAACGTCTGTTTTTTATTGAATTATCTACCTCAACTCCTTTTAGAAGGTAATTTATAAATTATCAATAAATAATAAATGCTAATATTCTGTCCTAATCATTCTTAAAATTATACTACATCTAAGGTAACAGAATGAGTTCTAAGCTATTAAATCCTTTTCATGGTTTTAAAAATAAATTTCTAAAAATAAAAAAAACTTTATTATAGTGTGGGGTAACAGTCTTTCCATCCTGGAACTATGGCCTAGTTTGTCCATAACCTTGCAGAGAAGGCCCCAGGGCTGGTGAATGAACACCAGCATTTGGTGCTGGTAAGGTCACAACTTACCTGAAGCCCCGACTGGCCACATTTTGGCGCTATGCCAAATTAAGCTGGCTCCTCCAATTCCTGCTGAGATCCCTACAGCTATTCAGAGCTTGAAAAAAATAGCCAAAAGCACTCAAACTGGTAGCTTCAAAAGGTTCACAGTTAAGGAATCTCGCTGACTGGTTTGGAGGCCACTGAGGTGTGGATGTGGTTTTATGTCGGTAAGATCATAGGCAAGCATGGCATCATTGGCTATAATGTTTGAAGACCAATCTTTAACATCTATTTACATTTGGTTTGTTATTTGAGCCCTCTTGGACCATGTGTAATCACACTGGTATTTGAATAAACTAAGACAACGTATCAAAAAAAAGATACTATAGCATTAAATTAAGTGCTTTTTCATTTCATAAACAGAAGCTAATTAAAAGGGCAGCATACTCACTACAAATAATGCAAAGGAAAAATCTTCACAATCCAAATTATAAATTGTCCAAAGTGAAATAAAGAAGAGTAATCAGTCATATCTTCTAAAATACTGTGTGTACCATGACAGATTTAGTACCGCTTTTAAAATACATAAGGTTCATATCCATCATCAAAAAGAGCCTACCATCTTCAATGGCATTTTTGATGGCACGAAGTCCATCCCTTAGAGCATCCTTGATTTGTGTGAGAGTATGCTTATTTGGTCCTTTAACCAACAAGGTGACAGAACGAGGGTTAACACAGGCCTCGATAAAAGTGAACTTTTCTTCACCCTAGAGGGTAATCCAAGAAGATATAACTCTAATATTTAATGTCATTATGAAGTGAAGTCCTAGTTTATAATATTAGAATCCAATCTTGCAAATTTTTCTCATCAAACATAACTAAATAGACACTAAAAGCAGTTAAGTTATATTTGAACTCTTAACAAACATTTAGAAAGATAAATTGTAAAATACATCCTGGGAATTATTCAGATATCAAAAGGTAAATCCTGAAAGAAAAGATTTAGTACATTAAAAAAAAAAAAAAAAAGTTTACTTTTCACTTTATAACCACTGCCCACAGATATACTCACTAATGTACACTCATGTACAAGACCAGCATGCCCCAAACAATGTATACTGAGGTCTTCAAGAGAATTCACAGCCATTCCACCACAAGCAAGAGAGAGTCTGAAATTACAGAGGTCGTCGTAGCTTTGATTATGGTAAGCATGAAAGACTTAATTTCTCAAAGGTGAAAAATACCTAACACAGAAGACTGCATTGTCACTGTATTGTACTGTTTTTAAAATCTGGGTTTTTAAAAAATTTTTTAAGTTCATTTATTTATTTTTGAGAGAGAGAGAGCACACAGGGGAGGGGCAGAGAGAGAGGGAGAGAGAGAAAATCTCAAGCAGGCTCTGCACTCTCAGTGCAGAGCCCAATGTGGAGCTCAAACTCACGAAACCATGAGATCATGACCTGAGCTGAAACCAAGAGTCATATGCTTAACTGACTGAGCCACCCAGGCACCCCTAAAATCTGTTTTAAGAAGATGAAAACCTTTGTCCTGCAACAAAGTTCTGACGTAGGTTAACAATCTTGATTTTTGACATTTCCATTATTTATTGAAATTAAAAACAAAATTTGGAACATGTATGCTACTACTTTGCTCAACAATGTTTACATGCAAGTTAAAAGGAATATCATGGAATCATTTCAATTTAATCTGCTAAAAACTTAGGATACATAATTATCTGCAAGCTTACCTTTCCATATTTCTTCTTTTTGCCCTGCGAAGAGCTACTATGCCATGTTTTGCAAGAAAATGGATCAATTCCCTAAAATCAAATTAGCAAAAAGTTATAAGCACATCTTAAGCCACTAGTTCTCAAACTTTTTTTATCTCAGCACTGCTTCACATTCTTAAAAATTAAGAGCCCAAAAAACTTTTGTTTATGTGGACTCTAAGTTATCATAAATTAAAATTCAAAATAATAGTAAACTCATTTTATGTTAACATAAATAACATTTTTAAGTGAAAACTTACTATACTTTCATAAACAAAAAAATATGTAGGTTAAAGTAATGGCACGGTTTCACATTTTTTATATCGTTTTAATGTCGGTCTTAACAGAAGACATATGGAGTCTCATCTGCTTCTGCCTTCAATATGGTGTGATATCTTGTTTTGGTTAAAGTATATGAAGAAAGCTTGGCCTCACACAAATACATACTGGGAAAAAGAGGAATATTTTAATAACTTTTCAGATAAATGTGGGTGTTCTTCTTTGATACTACACCAAAACTCAATAAATAATATTTTCTTAAAGGTTAGTTTCGAGGTGAAATATGGAACTTATCAATAAACTTTTCTTCTTTAAATTTTTTTAAAAATGTTTATTTTTAAGAGAGAGAGAGGGACAGAGTGTGAGCGGGGGAGGGATAGAGAGAGAGGGAGACACAGAATCCAAAGCAGGCTGCAGGGTCTGAGCTGTCAGAACAGAGCCCAGCACGGGGCTCAAACTAACGAACCCTGAGCTCATGACCTGAGCCAAAGTCCAACACTTAACCAACTAAGCCACCCATGGGCCCCTCAACAAAATTTCCATACTCTCTCATATGAAAATCCACCTGTCTGGGGCACCTGGGTGGCTCAGTTAAGCGTCCAACTCCTGATTTTGGCTCAGGTCATGATCTCACAGTTCATGATTTCAAGCCCCGTGTAGGTATCTGCACTGACAGTGCGGGGCCTGTTGAGATCCTCTCTCTTCTGCCCCTTCTCTTCCTCTGTCTCTGCCCCTCCCCTGCTCACTCATGCTCACTCACTCTCTCCCTCTCTCTCTCTCTCTCAAAAATAAACTTTAAAATAATAATAATAATAAAATCAAATCCACTTGCCTGTCTTACACTTCGAGTGTATTATTTACCCATGCATGATTTTGTTAAATCATATGGTTTTTTTTGTCATTTAGAAAACATTGAGGGTGGGGGATGGGCTAGATGGGTGATGGGTATTAAAGAGGGGACTTGTGATGAGTACTGGGTGTTGTATGTAAGTGATGAATCACTGAATTCTATTCCTGAAACTAATACTGCACTGTATGTTACCTAACTAGAATTTAAATAAAAATCTGAAAAGAAAAAAAGAAGAAAACATTGGTTCACTATGTTAAGCAGAGCTTCCAAATGCTGATACATTTCATAGTTCTACAATATCAGAAATATCACATTTGCTAATATCACCATTAACATTATCAGAAAAGTCCTTTAAGTATTGAAGAGCTGTGACATTCACAATGACAGATACAAGTTTTCCAAAATTTTAATTTTTGCTTGAAAGCTCAAATTTATTGGCAACAAATACCGTCAACTGTTTTCCTTGAAGTGACAGAACCACTTCTTCTTTTTCGAGAAAAACCTGCCAAATACCCACATCTAAATAACCATAGTTTGTCAGTTACTTTTTTTTTTTTTAATTTTTTTTTCAACGTTTATTTATTTTTGGGACAGAGAGAGACAGAGCATGAACGGGGGAGGGGCAGAGAGAGAGAGGGAGACACAGAATCGGAAACAGGCTCCAGGCTCTGAGCCATCAGCCCAGAGCCCGACGCGGGGCTCGAACTCCCGGACCGCGAGATCGTGACCTGGCTGAAGTCGGACGCTTAACTGACTGCGCCACCCAGGCGCCCCAGTTACTTTTTTTTTTTAAGTAATCTGTCTGCCCAACGTATGCCTTGAACTCACAACCCTGAGGTCAATAGTCACTTGTTCTACCCACTGAGCCAACCAGCTGCCCCTGTCAGTTATTCTTTAAAGTAAAAATGGCATTCCATGAAAAAAGTGGCTAGGTCAGCTTGCAACTCAATTATACAAGAGTTTTCCTTCAAGATAACCATATTCTGATGTGCAGATTTCACACTCCATCACACAGAATTATAAAAGGATGCCTATGTAAGGATCAAAATTCAATAAAATTAGTAAGTTCTACCACTTCATCAAGATATTCTCAAATGAAACTTTTTTTTTTAACCGCAAGTGTACGGTAAAATGGGAAAAAGAATATAATGACTATTAGTACAGTTTGGTGCTACTGCTTTGATTTGTACTAATGCACCAGTAGTTTTACCTAACGTTGACTTTGCGTGATCATTGCAAATGTCAGCACAACGTAAAAGGCATTATTATTACTATTATTATCATGAAAATAATTTTGACCTCATAGACTCCCTGAAATGGTCTTATGGACTCCCGGGAATCCACAGACCACACTCTGAGAAATGGTGAAAAACATTTACACATAGTTAAAATCAAAATTTTCTTTCTCATCTTTTGATTAATGACAACAAATCCTTTACTGGACTGAGCACAGACTTTGTCTTTCAGGTCTATTATTTTTTGTACTCGATCTTCAATAAATTTTCTTTCAGCTTTTACCAGTTTCTCTTTCTCTTCAGCAGACTTATAAAAGAAACCAGAGCTCACCTCTCTAAAAGATTAATAAAAACAAGCTAGTAAAGGCAGAAGAGAGAGGAGGAAAAGGCAGAAGGCGCTTACCCTAAACATCTGGCAGGGAAGCAAGAGATTAAAAAAACACTTTTAGAAAATACAATTTCAGGAGTGCCTAGGTGGCTCAGTCGGTTGAGTGTCTGACTTCAGCTCAGGTCATGATCTCACAGCTTGGGAGCTCGAGCCCTGTGTTGGTCTCTGTGCTGACAGCACAGAGCCTGCTTTGGATTCTGTGTCTCCCTCTCTCTCTGCCCCTCCCCTGCTCACGCTCTGTTGTGTGTCTCTCTCTCAAATAAATAAATGTTAAAAGAAAATTTAAAAAGAAAATACAATTTAAAATTCACAAAGAGTAACTGACACGTACGTTTTTTCATATTCTAGTGATACATTGCAAGAAAGGATAAACGCATCTTCTACTCGTTTCTTCATATCTGGATGACGGGCACCATGATCCAGAACTAATCCTCTGATCAACCTATTAAAAATATGTAATGTTTCTTCCTCTGAATATACACTCTAAAATTTGTTATAAAATAAGGATTGTATTCTTAAAATTGTAACAGAACTACTGGGGCACACATTGTTTCCTTGCACCAACTTTAAGCCTAACACATAATTAGCAAAATTAGAAAAGAAAATTTATTTTAACACAGTGTGACTGGGAAGTCACAATGAAAAGTCAACCCAGAATTATTCTCTAAATTATGTGGCTCACACATATGACACAGCTGGTCAAGTATTGAAAGGTAGGCACACAGTGAGTTTCTTAGGAACATTTGTTCAAAATAATTATATGGGACCACCAAACACTGTTAACCTAAATGTCCAATAATAAGGCATTGTTCAGCAAATAAATGACCCAACTATTTCATGGTCGTGAAAACTATGTAATGACATGGAAAAATATTTACAGTGGTAGCTGATAAACAAACACAGAATAGCAAACTACCTACAAAGCATGATTATAACTACTCTTTCAGAAAATAAGCACCTCAGTACTGACAAGAAAAAATGAAAAGAAATTAAGAGTAGAGTTATGCTTGGGTGGTAGGAATACAGATAATTCAGGAGTGGGAGACACTTTTTTCCTATCGTTGAAATTTTCTTTCAAGAGTAAATATTTTTATAACTTTTAAAACTTCATTTATACCCAATTAGGGAGTGGTATTTCTATTTACAAATCTTTTATAACCAATATTTGTTATACATAAACATAAAAGAAATAATTGTTAAAATAGTTAAACACAATTATAAGGAAGTTTTCAAACTTTTAATTTAACTACTAATTTTAATCTGACTACAACATTTTAATCTAATTATCCAACTACCAGCTGAAAGTGCAGAGCTTTTCTTTAGGAAGAAAACAAGCAAACTATATGTTCAACACTTGTCACTCTCCAGGTCTCTTTACTCTTCCCCCCTCTCTCATTCTCAGCAAGTGACCTTGTGCTTTGAGAAAATACACTGTCCCATCACTACCTCTACCAGTCCACCTGCACTTGACCCTGAACCTCCTGTTCCTATGAGCGAACTGTCCATGCTCTTCTCTCAGGTTAACCCCTGCATGTGTGTACTCTATTCCCTTTCTGGTCTCTGCTCCGGCATCATCCCCTCTTCCCCCATGTCAGTTCCTCCTGCCTCCAGGAGCATTCTCGTCAGGACACAGACTTGCCATGAAAATTCTCATCTTTAAAACAAAGAATGCTTCTCCTTCAAGTCCCTTCCCATCCTCCCTTCTAGCTACTGCCCGTTTCTCTGCTAACCTCCTTGGAGCTGTGTATGCTTGCACCCTCACTTCTTCCTTAACCACTTCTCTCTCTCAAGCCCACTTCAATCCAACTTTCACACCTACTCCTTTATTGAATCAGTTCCCATCCAAGTCACCAAAAACATTAAATGCCTTCCATATCTAATGGTCAATTTTCAATCCACAACAACTTGCTCTAAGTTTCAGCAGCATATGACATACTTGATTATTCTCCCCTTGAAACATTTTCCTCTCTTAGCCTCTGGGACAATACTTTCTCTTGGCTTTCCTCCTATCTCAGTGACCATCCCTTCTGGTGCTGAATCCTTCTCATCTTCTCAATTTCTTTTTTTTTTTTTTTTTAGCTTATTTATTTTGACAGAGAGAGTGTGTGTGAGCAGGGAAGGGGCAGAGAGAGGGGGAGAGAGAGAGAATCCTAAGCAGGCTCTATGCTGTCAGCACAGAGCCTGACATGGGGCTCAAACTCACAGACCACAAGATCATGACCTGAGCCTTAATCAAGAGTTGGACACTTAAGCGACTGAGCCACCCAGGCACTCCTTGTCTTCTCAATTTCTAAACATTTGAGTTTCCAGGGACCAACTTTAAACTTCTATCTATATTCACTTCTCAGCTGATCTCACTACCTCTCATAAGCTTTAAGTCATCTATACACAGATGACTCCCAAATATTTTTCTAGATCAGACCTCTATTCTGAACTGCAGACACACCTCTCCAACTCCCTACTCACACATGGATGCCTAACAGGCATCTTAAAACATAACATTTCCCAAACTGCGCTCTTGATTTATTTCCCCAAATCTGTTCCCCCGAGTCTTTTCCATCCCAAGAAATGGCATTTCCCCTTCTTCAGATGCTCCATGCAAAGCCCCAAGAAACATCCTTGACACTATTTCTGTCACATTCTATGTCAAACCATCAACAGATCCTACTGCTCCTTCTAAGTATACCCTGATCTAAAGTGTTTTCACCCCTCACCCGTATTACAACAGATTCCTGACTGGGCTCCACTTCTGCCCTTGCCCTGGGAAATGCCCTGCTTCACAGTGCATTCTGCCCACAATAACCACAGAGATACTTCTGAAATATAAATCAGAACTGCTATTGCCCTCAGCAATAGTAGACTAATTTGGACCAACCCTACTACCAAAAGCAAAATGCTGGGTTAAAAACAAAAACCTTAGGAGCACCTGGGTGGCTCTGTGGTTAGGCGTCCAACTTTGGCTCAGGTTCGTGGGTTTGAGCTCTGCATCGGGCTCCGTGCTGACAGCTCAGAGCCTGGAGTCTGCTTCAGATTCTGTGTTTCCCGCTCTCTCTGCCTCTCCCCCACTCACATTCTGTCTCTGTTTCTCAAAACTAAATAAACATTAAAAAAATTAAACGCTTAAAAACACTGGAGAGCTTTAAAATAGTAAAGAAAACATGAACTCCAAAGGATAAGAAAAGAACTGCAAGTACTCTTATCCTAAAGTCACTTGACAATTCAGATCAATCTGAACTTGGGTTTCAACAACCTCACTATGAGAGGGGGACAGAATGAAAAGCTCAGGGCTCATCGAAGGTAGAGGGTCTAATAGGAGACACTCTTCACTTTAAGTAGGAACACCAAAGGGCTACATACTCAGGGCATAAACCAGAAGGATGAACTAGAAGCAAGCAGTCCTCATATGAATCAGTAGTTACAACTACCAACTGGATATTTGGGATGCCTGGGTGGCTCACTCAGTTAAGCATCTGACTCTTGGTTTTGGCTCAGGTCATGATCTCATGGTTCATGAGATCAAGCCCTGTGTGGGGCTCTGTGCTGACAGCGAGGAGCCTGCTTCAGATTCTCTCTCTCCCCCTCTCTGCCCCTTGCCTGATCATACGCTTCCTCTCTCTCTCTCTCTCTCTCTCTCTCTCTCTCTCTCTCTCTCAATAAACAAACATTTAAAAAAACAAAACTAGGGGCGCCTGGATGGCTCAGTCGGTTAAGTGACTAACTTCGGCTCAGGTCATGATCTCACAGTTCATGGGTTCAAGACCCGCATCGGGCTCTGTGCTGACAGAGCCTGGAGACGCTCAGAGCCTGGAGACTGCTTCTGATTCTGTGTCTTCTTCTCTCTCTGTCTCTCCCCCTGCTTGCAGTCTGCCTCTCTCAAAAATAAATATTAAAAAAAATTTTTTAAACACAACTAGATATTAAAAACAAACAAAAACAGAACCCTCAAGCTGTGGATTTAATTTAAAGTATTCCCCAGGCTCCTTGCAACAGCAAATTCAAATCCTCTGTGCAGAAATGCACCTTCATCCTAGGTGTCAAATAATTTCTACAAATACCTTTTTCAAACATGATGAATGGCACATATAGAAACAAACACACATCGCTTCTCGGCCTTTTGGCTAAGATCAAGTGTAGAAACAAAACACAGGGGCGCCTGGGTGGCTCAGTCAGTTAAGTGTCCAACTTTGGCTCAGGTCATGATCTCACAGTTTGTGCGTTCGAGCCCAACGCTGGGCTCTGTGCTGACCGCTCAGAGCCTGGAGCCTGCTTCAGATTCTGTGTCTCCCTCTTTCTCTGCCCCTCCCCTGCTCGTACACTTTCTCTCTCTCAAAAATAAACATTTAAAAAAAATTTTTTTAATAATAAAAGGCAGGCTTGGAAAGATCTGCAGGGAATAAGACACCATAAAAAGTACAATGGCCAATCTAAGAAAAACCAAATAAAACTTCAAGAAATAAGTAAATAAAGAGATCCACAAACACACACATATATTAAAATAAAGTATTTTCAAATGAAATATGATATTTGGATTGGCTTCAAAATAATCCAGGTTTGGGATGAGGAAGAGAAAGAGGAGTTTATAAGGGGAAATAAAAGGAAAAATAAAATGGGCCACAGATTGAAAATTTATAAACATGAGTGACAGGTATGTGAGAGTTCACTATTCTATTCTTTCTGCTTTTATATATGTTTAGAATTTTCCATAAAAGAAAGTTTAAAATTCATTAAGTCCAAAATCAACAACATGCTACATATTCTGAGTACATACTTACCCAGACCATGTCAATTGTCTGACCTCTCTTTCCTCTCCAACTTCAAATCCTACTCTTTTTTCCTCTTACTTACTGTGCTCCAGGCACACTGGGACACCCCAGCACACTGGTGCCTTTGGGCCTTTTCAACCGTCATTCCCTTGACTTAGAACTCTTCATCCAAATATACACATGGCTAACTCCCTTATTTCTTCAGACACCTCCTTAGCTCTTGAGTTTAGTTTCCAATCACAAGGATCTTCCCTGAGCACTCCAAAATCACACACATGCTCTCAGTCACTCTAGTTTCTTCCCAGCATTTATTATCACTTATGTATTTATTATCTCCCACAACTAAAAACATAATCTTCTTAGAGAAAGAAATTCTGTTTTGTATTACTCTTCATTCCTAGCACCCAAAACAATGACTGCCTCAGGGTAAGTATTCACTTAATATATGTTGAATTAACAGACTGATGTTGAGGGGCGCCTGAGTGGCTCAGTCAGTCGAGTGTCCAACGTCGGCTCAAGTCATGATCTCATGGTTCATGAGTTCAAGCCCCACATTGGGCTCACTGTTGTCAGTGCAGAGCCCACTTCGGATCCTCTGTTCCCCTCCCTCTCCGCTCCTCCCCCGCCTGTGCTCTCTCTCAAAAATAAACATTTTTTAAAAAATAGACTGACATTGAATTAAAGTAACTAATGATATTAATGAAAAAAAAAAAGTATCTGAACTACACCAAATATTCTAGAATCCATGTATTGTCAAAGTTTATGTAATTTAGGGGCACCTGGCTGGCTCAGTCGCAGGAGCATACAACTTTGATCTTGGGGTTATAAGTTCAAGCCCCATGTTGGTGTAGAGATTACTTAAAAATAAAACCTTAAGGGGCGCCTGGGTGGCACAGTCGGTTAAGTGTCCGACTTCAGCCAGGTCACAATCTCGCGGTCCGGGAGTTCGAGCCCCACGTCAGGCTCTGGGCTGATGGCTCGGAGCCTGGAGCCTGTTTCTGATTCTGTGTCTCCCTCTCTCTCTGCCCCTCCCCCGTTCATGCTCTGTCTCTCTCTGTCCCAAAAATAAATAAAAAAAAAACGTCGAAAAAAAATTTAAAAATAAAACCTTAAAAAAAAAAGTGTATGTAATTTACTTTGTATCTGTTTCTGATTTATGCTTCATCTCCATGATTTCTATCATGAAGAGATCAATAGGATAACCCGGTCTTCTAATAGCCAAAACAGAATCCACCACAGCCTGAAAGAGAAGTGAATGAGAACAGTAAATTACTGGTCTATTAAAAGAAATCACTGGCCCAAGTAATCATCAGACTAAACAGATAAAGGGCTTCAGGCCCCAAAATATAGGGCAAGGCCACAAAGGCCACTCTGTCATGGACATTAGTAATAATCAATGCCAGTGGGTACTTTAGACCCTGAAGGAACTTCAGAGATCATCAGGCCCAAAGCCTTCATTTTACAGTTAAGTAAAGTAAACTCTGAAACTTTTAAGAATTTACAGACTTAACAAGAGGTCTAAAAGCAGAGCAAGGCCTAGAATCCCGTTTTCTTTAACTGCCAAGCCACTGCTCTACTACCAACACTACTCAAACTTTTCCACCAAAAGACATATTTAATGGAAAAGAAGGAAATGTAATCTGAGGTAAAAGCTAAAATTTTCTGGTTACACTAACACGAAGTGTCTTAAATTTTGTGTTTTATCATGAAAAGCTAGGGGCGCCTGGGTGACGCAGTCGGTTAAGCGTCCAACTTCAGCCAGGTCAGATCTCGCGGTCCGTGAGTTCGAGCCCCGCGTCAGGCTCTGGGCTGATGGCTCAGAGCCTGGAGCCTGTTTCCGATTCTGTGTCTCCCTCTCTCTCTGCCCCTCCCCCGTTCATGCTCTGTCTCTCTCTGTCGCAAAAATAAATGTTGAAAAAAAAAATTAAAAAAAAAAAAAAAGAAAAGCTTCTACGTCATGCCATGATATACATTTGTTTTAATGTGAAAGTAATGCTTTTCCCCAAAATTGCAGCGTGAAATTGATACTCCAGAAAGACATGTGCTATTTATTCTGCCACATAGCCCCAGGGATATATAGCATGGTACAATAGTATATCCTATTGCTTAGCTCAGAAAGCTTGGGTGGTTCAGTCGGTTAAATGTCCGGCTTCAGCTCAGGTCATGATCACACGGTTCGTGGGTTCCAGCCCTGCATCGGGCTCTGTGCTGACAGCTCAGAGCCTGAAGCCTGCTTTGGATTCTGTATGTCCCTCTCTCTCTCTGCCCCTCCCCCATTTGTGCTCTGTCTCTCAAAACTAAATAAATGCTAAAAAAAAATTTTTTTTAAAGAAAGTAATATGAAATTACATAAATTAACTATTACAATATAACCACCCTAAAATATAAATAAAGCAAAAAACTATACCTTAGTTTACCTGAGATAACATGATACTTGGTTTTGGAACCTAACAGGGAATAATGACAAAGACCACAGGATAATGAGAGTATCAGTGTTTCTACAACTCCAAAAGAGAATGGGCGCACTAACCAGATAACATGAAGATTCTGGATCATTTGATATAAGTACTCCAACAGGAGAAAATACTGTAGTCTTTATTTGAACTCTGCTGAGCAAGAAATTGTCTGATCTTAATCTGATTTGCAAAGTAGGTTTTCCTATTGGTAAGGGGAATTGACCAGAAACAAATCAGGTGTTCTAGTCCATTTGTCATTTATATTTCTCAGAGTAAATTAGCAAGACAGCATTCTGATTTATATATCAATGCTTTGTGATTTTGGTTATGAATTCATCATTCCTGATAAACCAATATATTCAAGTTGCAGAAAATACAACGCTGAGGAACAATGATGATATCAAACTATAGCCACCTGATAAAAGCCTTCCCAAAATACCCAATCTACTCCTTAAATTACACACATTTTACCTTTAGAAGTAAACAAAACAAATACGCATTTCCCAGATGTGAAGATTATCTGTCAGATCAATCACGCTTCATTAAAGTGGTAACCTTAACAACCTATGTGTCACCTCACATAATAAATATTGACCTCTAGGTTTTAAGAGACCAGCACCTCACCCCAATGACATCCACAAGGGTTGATCCACAGGCAGCCAAGCTCCCTTCATGTTAACTTAAAAGAAAGTTTAATATAAGAGGCTCTTAAATACTGAGAACAAACTGAGGGTTGATGGGGGATGGGGGAGAGGGGAAAGTGGGTGATGGGCATTGAGGAGGGCACCTGTTGGGATGAGCACTGGGTGTTGTATGGAAACCAATTTGACAATAAATTATATTTAATATAAAAATAAAAAGAAGGTTTAAGAAGGCAGCCAGGCCCCTTTCATTAACTTTCATGTTAACTTAAAAGAAGGTTTAATATGACACTTTTGAAAAATTACACATACTGTTCTGACCAATCAAGTATAGACTATAACTAAGTGAATAAATGTTTGCCTTCTGTATTTTATTTCATGTTCAAAAGAACCACATACGATAGTTGATTCTTATAGGAAAAATAAAAATATCATCATGCATTAGTCTATATTTGTTCTGAATGCAAAAGTTTAATCACAAACCTCTGTTAACACATCAGCCAATTCAGCAGGAACTTTAGTTTGTAGAGATGTTCTAGCCACAACTAAGAGGACTTCTCTTTTCATCTCTTTGTTAATTTTAACCTTTTCCAGAACTTCAAGTGCTTTTATCTTCACAGCTTCAAATCCTTCAGCTATTATTCTAGGGTGCAGGCCCTGTCACATCAACATAAAACTAAAAATCATAAAGTCATCCAAAGTAAAAGTAACCATCTTCTCCTGTTAATAGGTACGTTCAAAGAAAGTAATATTACCCACATCAATGGCACTCAAGACAAATGCATGTACATAACTTATGAAAGTAATTTTTCAGTGCTTCATATTTAAAACAACCTCAAACTTACAGAAAAAAATTTATGTCCAGGACAAAACACTACAAAACTCCTTTTTATTTCCAAAAATTATGACACACTGTCATGTGGTACCCTTCCGAATGGGCACAAAAGAAAAGACTCCTTTAATGCAGAGGAAAAGAACCAACGCTGATTTGGAGGAAAGTACAGACAAACACCACCTTCACCAAATGTTAACATCACAGCAATGGGACAAATAGACATCATGTGCCTCCTGATACAATGCATTAAGAACACTACCACACGTCTATGGTATTTCATGCCAGAAGTTTATTACCTGAGTCTAATTGTGATAGTCAAATCCAAATTGAGGACTTTGTACAAAATAATTGGCTGTACTCTAAAAGTAGCAATGTCATAAAACACAAAAGACAGCTCAGGATAATTCCAGTTTAAAAGAGACTAAAGGAGGGCACGTGGGTGGCTCAGTCAGTTAAGCATCTGACTTTTTTTTAGATATATTTATTTTGGGAGAGCACAAGAGGGGAGGGACGGAGAGGGGGGACAGAGGATCCAAAGTGGACTCTGCACTGATAGGCTGACAGCAGCATGCCTGGTGTGAGGCTTGAACTCACAAACCACAAGATCATGACCTGAACTGAAGTCAGACGCTCAACCAGCTAAGCCACCAGGAGCCCCTAAATAAATGAAGCCTGGAGCCTGCTTCAGATTCTGTGTCTCCCTCTCTCTTGGCCCCTCCCCGGCATCCGTGCTCGCTCTCTCTCTCTCTCAAAAACAGATAAACATTAAAAAAAATTTTTGAGAAAATGTTAAAAATTAAAAAATAAAGAAGACTATAAGGATAGGACAACTGAATGTAATGCATGAACATAGATTTTCTTCTGCTATAAAGGACACTGTTGGGACAAATGATAAAATAGGAATAAAATCTATAGATTATACTACTGTATCAATGTATCAATGTTAATATTAATTTCCTGGTTTTGATCACTATACTGTGATCATAAGAGAATATCGTGGTTTTAAGAAATATACACCGAGGGGCGCCTGGGTGGCTCAGTCAGTTAAGTGTCCAACTCTTGATTTCGGCTTAGGTCATGATCTCACAGTTTGTGAGATCCAGACCCACATTAGGCTCTGCACAGACAGCACTGGAGCCTGCTTGGATTCTCTCTCTCCCTCTCTGTCTCTCAAAATAAATAAAATTTTTAAAAAAAATTTTTTAAGAAACATACACTGAAATATTTAGGTGATCATGTCTGCAACTTACACCATTCAAAAAAAATATGTACATACATACATATATGCATGCACCATATATACGTTTATATCTGAGAAAGAGAGAAATGTTATTCTTTGGAATATTCCTGAAACATTTCTATAGGCTTGATATTATAACAAAATAATTTTTTTTTATTTAAAAAAAATTTTTTTAACTTTTTTTATTTATTTTTGAGACAGAGAGAGACAGAGCATGAACAGGGGAGGGTCACAGAGAGAGGGAGACACAGAATCTGAAACAGGCTCCAGGCTCTGAGCGGTCAGCACAGAGCCCGACGCGGGGCTCGAACCCACAGACCGTGAGATCATGACCTAAGCCGAAGTCGGACGCTTAACCTACCGAGCCACCTAGGCACCCCAACAAAATAATTTTTTTAATTGTCTTTTCAGGAAAAATATATAAACTTATTGAAAGCTGGAACTGGGTCTAATTTATTCCCTTCCTCCATTCCTCTACATCAGTCCTACAATAATTTTTTAAAGTTAACATTTCTTAAGGATTTGTGCCAGGTTCTAATCTAAAAGGCTTATTTCATTCAATCCTCTCAACACTACGAAGTGGGTATTATTTCTGTTTCACAGATGAGGAAATTGAGGTTTATAATAATGTAACTTGCTTTAGATCACCAGGATATTAAGTGGTAGAGCCAGGATTTAAACCTACAAAGCCTGACTCCAGACCCTGGATGTTATTAAACATTTTCAAAACACTTCCTCAGTCTCGGATCTCACAATTTCTCACCCGGACTATGATCCTCTAGTCTTGACTCCCTTAAAGCTGTCCCTCGAATATTTAAAATGCCAATCTGACCAGATCAGTCATTAATATGTTAACACGAACATTCTTCGTGGTTAGTATACCACATGCCCTCTGTAATCCAGCTTCCACCTACTTCTCCTGCCTTTCATTGCCGTCTCACAGCACTTTAAAGTCTGGCCAACACCAAAATGCTTGCAGCTTTACACACATACCATGCTGCTTCTCTTCTCTGTTAATTTTGCCTCTGTTAATTTTGTTCCTTCTGCCTGGAATGTCTTTCTCCTTGCTCCTCACTCTTTCCACTGGTTCACTGCCTCTCATTCTAAAGATTTAACCCAGGTCTTACTTCCTCCAAAGAGTGCTTCCTAATTCGGGCAAGTTTAGGCTATCACTCCTTCCTCAGTGTTTCTATCACATCTGGTACTTAGGTTTATCACTATACTGCCACAGTTTCACAATTATGTCAACGCCCGTCAGCATCTCCCCCTTCCCAAACTTTTTTTTCCCTAACCAAACCCTAATCTTGTTTAGGTATCTCTTTCTCAGGTCTTCAGAGGAAGCTACCCTCTCTAGCTAACTCAAGGGGTGGATCCTGATTGGATTAAGTCAATTCCCCTAAAACCTGTTATTGATTTGGGATGGACACCGATCAAAGTTGGCCCAATTATATTATAAAGGAAGGAGTTAAACTCCATAATTGGGCAAATAGTTTTATCCTCCCTCTCCTGCTGAGTGTTATTAAAGGAAGCAAGTAGTCCTACTTTTCTCTGACAGTCTTATAATCAGGACAGAAATAAGCTTTATCATGAAACAGCACTATAAATGGAAGAACTAAGACACAGAAAGGACCAGGGTACTTGATGACTAATAGACATTTTCAATCAACCAAACTTGGATGTTCTGTAATGGGAGATAACTTACTGTTTAAGTGACTTTCAGTTAAGTTTCTACTGCTTACAGCCAAAGCCATCCTAAATGAGGTACGTTGCAGGTACTGAATTGTTAGACAATTCCCAATACTAAATGAAATGCAAAGAAGTACTAATCTTAGCACTTGGACCAGGTAATGCTTTGCTGAAATGGTTCTTGAAAGAAAGGAAAAAATCCAAATACTTAATTAGATTAGACAGATAAATAATGCCAAGAAAAGGATACAGATTGAACAAAGGCAGTGACATAGAAATGTGTGTAGTGATTTCAGAGGCTAGTGAGTAGACTGGAGGAGTCTGGCTAGAGTAGATGGTTTATAAGGAAAATAAAATAGAAAGGTAGGTAAATTCACAGTGTGAAAACCTTCAATTATTTTTCCCCAGTTATTTTTTAAAAGGTGCATAATTTGGTTTAGACTTCATCAGTGATGTTTTCTTTTTTAGGTCATTATTCATGGGTATATGGCTAATTTTTTACCTTCTTATATACCTTAAATATTTCATTTTTTAAAAAGGGATATCATTCCAATGAAAGAAATTATTTTGGCAAAAAAAAAAAAGAGTTCATTATTACTTCCATTTACAATTGTACTAAAACCGGGGTGCCTGGGTGGCTTAGTCGGTTGAGCGTCTGGCTTCAGGTCAAGTCATGATCTCATGGCTCGTGAGTTCAAGCCCCACGTCAGGCTCCGTGCTGACAGCTCAGAGCCTGGAGACTGCTTCAGATTCTGTGTCTCCCTCTTTCTCTCTGCCCCAACCCACTCTCATTCTGTCTCTGTCTCTCTCAAAAATAAATAAACATTAAAAAAAGAAAATTTACAATTGTACTAAAGTATCTTGATAAAAATTGGCACAAAAACACTCAGATCAATGGAACAGAATGGAGAACCCAGAAATGGACCCACAAACGTATGACCCACTAATCTTTGACAAATAGAAAATAATATCCAGTGGAATAAAGACAGTCTCTTCAGCAAGTGATGCTGGGAAAACTGGACAGTGACATGCAGAAGAATGAACCTGGACCACTTTCTTACACCATACACAAAAATAAACTCAAAATGGATGAAAGACCTAAATATAAGACAGAAAGCCATCAAATTCCTGGAAGAGAAAGCAGGCAAAAACCTCTTTGATCTTGGCCGCAACTTCTTACTCAACACGTCTCCAGAGGCAAGGGAAACAAAAGCAAAAATGAACTATTGGTACCTCATCAAGATAAAAAAAAACCTTCTGCACAGGGTAGGAAACAATCAGCAAAACTAAAAGGCAACAGACAGAATGGGAGAAGATATCTGCAAATGACAAATCAGATAAAGGGTTAGTATCCAAAATCTATAGAGAACTTATCAAACTCAACACTCAGAAAACAAATAATCCAGTGATGAAATGGGCAAAAGACATGAATAGACACTTCTCCAAAGAAGACATCCAGATGGCCAACCGACACATGAAAAAATGCTCAACATCACTCATCATCAGGGAAATAGGAATCGAAACCACAATGAGACATCACCTCACACCAGTCAGAATGGCTAACATTAACCACTCAGGCAACAACAGATGTTGGCGAGGATGCGGAGAGAAGACGATCTCTTGGGCACTGCTGGTGGAAATGCAAACTTGGGCAACCACTCTGGAAAACAGTATGGAGGTTCCTCAAAAAATTAAAAATAGAACTACCCTACAACCCAGCAACTGCACTATTAGGTATTTATCCAAGGGATACAGGCATGCTGTTTTGAAGGGGCACATGCACCGCAATGTGTATAGCGGCACTATCAACAATAGCCAAAGTAGGGAAAGAGTCCAACTGTCCATCGATGGATGAATGGATAAAGAAGATGTGGTATATATATACAATGGAGTATTACTCGGCAAAAAGAATGAAATCTTGCCATTTGCAACTACGTGGATGGAACTAGAGGGTATTATGCTAAGTGAAATTAGTCAGAGAAAGACAAATATCATATGACTTCACTTATATGAGGACTTTAAGACACAGAACAGATGAACACAAGAGAAGGGAAACAAAAATAATATAAAAACAGGGAGGGGGACAAAACATAAGAGACTTCAATACGGAGAACAAACAGAGGGTTGCTAGAGGGGGTGTGGGGGGGGGGGATGGGCTAAATGGGTAAGAGGTATTAAGGAATCTACTCCTGAAATCACTGTTGCACTATATGCTAACTAATTTGGGTGTAAATTTAAAAAATAAAATTAAATTTTAAAAATAAACATCAAAAAATTTTTTTTTAAGTATCTTGATAAAAATTAACTTTTGCCCTCTAAAATTAAACCATTGTACGAATGAAAACAACAATTTCCACCTGGGTGGCTCAGTCGGCTAAGCATCCAACTTCAGCTCAGGTCGTGATCTCACAGTTCGTGGGTTCGAGTCTGGCGACAAAGCCTCTGTCTATCCCCCCTTTTCTGCCCCTCCCCCCTGATTCAAAAATAAACAAACATTTAAAACAGTGAAGTACTACATGAATGTGAATTCTGTAATATGCTAATACCTCAGATATGTAAAGATCAGCTTGTTTTAGTAACTCTCCAATAATTAGAACGTTGGAAGTAGTACCATCTCCTGTAATGTCATCCTGGGCTGTTGCTACTTTTGCTATCAAGGAAGCTGTTGGGTGTTGAATTTGCTGGAAAAAGCAAGCAACAGATTAAAAGAACGAGATTGAAAAAAAAAAAAAAACAGTCCAATGCAAACAAGATAACCTAAGGGCCACTAGTAAAATTAAGAAATGAAATAAGCCTCACTCTACACGTTCACAAATTCTGTAGTATCAATACTTAATAAATGTCAATACCCAAAATTTTTAAATTGAGAACTAATGAGGTTTGAACATCTTAGAAGAGTCTTTGCTTTAGAATGCAATGACATTTCCAAAATAACATTAAATCCTTCAATCTCTAAGATGAATATATTTACTAAAATTGCAAAGGATTTTTTATATTTTCATGATTACAAAGAACATAACACAGTGCCTTTAAAAGATGGAACTAATTTGGAAGTATCTCTAAGCTATTACTTGGTCTGTATGAAGATTTGAAAACAACCAAAAATATATTTTATTAAGGTTTAACCCAGCAAGTATAACTCATGACTGCAGTATGAGCAAGCTGACAGCCTTGGTTTAAGGATATACAATTTGTGGGGCACCTGGGTGGCTTGATCGGTTGGGCGTCTGACTTCGGCTAAGGTCATGATCTCACATCTCATGGGTTCGAGCCCTGCGTTGGGCTCTGGGCTGACAGCTGGGAGCCTGGAGTCTGCTTCAGATTCTATGTCTCCCTCTCTCTCTGCCCCTCCCCAACTCGTGCTCTGTCTCTCTCTCTCTCTCAAAAATAAACATTAAAAAAAATTTTTTTTTTTAAGGATATACAATTTGTACTATGTTCTAGGCTTATTAAGGTTTCTTAGAGTCAGTAGCATCAGCTCACCATCTCATGGAGCAGTACGTTGCCATCTTTGGTGAGTTTGATGTCACCTGCACCAGAAATAAGCCTGTTCAGAAAACAGTGATGTTATTAAACCTCAGATGGCAAGGGTCAAGCAAGATATTCTCAGTTCTTCCCAGTCTACGATCCTTGATATCAGGAACTGGGCTTCAAAACATCTATGTGCCATAGGGAGATTCCATGGTAACCACCACCATGTACAGCCTACAGAATCACTTCTCCCCATGTGGACTGCTATAGCAACTTCATTCCAAATGGAGCATTTACAAGTTTAAGGGTAATAGAAATTGATGAGTTATGAATGGCAGTTTGGTCCAAGAAGAGTATTTGTAAGTCTACAAACCACAAATTTGTAAATTTGCTGTAGGTTGTGTGTGTGGTGTGTGTGTGTGTGTGTGTGTGTGTGTGTGTGTGTGTGTGTGTGAAATGTTACCATTCATTCACTCAACTTACTTTCTTCCCTCATCCCTCACATTTATTAGATCATCAAGTTCTGTCAATTGTACAACCTAAGTATTTCTTGAATCTACTCCCTCCTCTCCGTGTTCAACTGTCAACATCTCTAGCCTGGACTACTTAAGCAGCATCCTAATATCTCTGAATTTGAATCTACCCTCCACACTACATTTATCTTTCTAAAAGGCAATGTGACTCAGTCAGTTCTCTGATCAAAAATCCTTCAATGAGGGGCGCCTGGGTGGCGCAGTCGGTTAAGCGTCCGACTTGAGCCAGGTCACGATCTCGCGGTCCGGGAGTTCGAGCCCCGCGTCGGGCTCTGGGCTGATGGCTCAGAGCCTGGAGCCTGTTTCCGATTCTGTGTCTCCCTCTCTCTCTGCCCCTCCGCCGTTCATGCTCTGTCTCTCTCTGTCCCAAAAATAAATTAAAAAACGTTGAAAAATCTTTCAATGATTCTTACAAACATGGGGAAAAAATCTTTCAATGAATTTTATGTTCTCCATCACCTTCAAGGTAAAATCCAGACTATTTGGCAATGACCTAGTTCACCCTTCCCAAACTGGTTTATGTCCATTTTTCCTGGCATCTACCAAATGAGATCTGGTGGGAAAATACTATGGTTCCTTTAATACATCATGCTTGTTTTCACTTCTGTTGGATTTACATCACTGGACTTCTCATTCCTTAACTTACCAGGAGGCCTTTACTCCCTTCTCCAACTGGTGAACTCTAACTTAATTTTCAAGACTCTGATCAAAAATCTGTTTTCGGGAGGTTTTTCCTTCTCCCTACCACCATCAGTAATTAGTCCCTTTCCTCAGTATTATTATATTTGCGATATATATGATCAATAACATATATGATACCTTCACCATCTGTGTTCCCAACATCCAATTAGTACACATTCTCTTTTACCGTTAATATTAATTTTGCTCATTCCTCTTAGAATGCATCTTTCCCCCTTACAAATTCTTTGCTCTTTTTTCCTCACTCTTCCAAAGAAACTTGTAATACTATGTAAATGCATGCTGATGGCGCGAAGCGTTCAAGTTAAGTTGCCTAAGGACGCACGCTGGAAGGGGAACTTGGATTTGCAACTGCAAGGCCTGTGTGCCCTTAACGCTACAACACACTGCCAAACACAAACCAACCTAAGGGCATATAGTCTCAAAGAGCAGGGGAGTTAAACCGCTTATGTTTCTAAAGAGACACCAGATGAAACGACTTTCCAACTGCACAAGAGCGTTAACGTGGGCGGGGGGTAGGGGGTGGGGAGTGGGTGTCACAGCTTCATTGGGGGCCCTTTTCTCGGGCTCCTCCCGCCCCAGGCCAGGGATGACCTCAGGGCAAGAATGAGAACGAGGACAACCAGGCCCACAGGTGCGTCCCGTCGCTCCAGGCCCTTCATGGAACGTCGGCCTTAAGAGCGCGCAGCGACACCCAACAAGCCGCCGGCTCCCTAACCGCCGCCTCACATTTTCATGGTGCCCTTGGGCCCCAAGTTGGTACGTAGCACATCTTGCAGCCCTCGGGCGGCGCATATGTTGACGGCCCAGGCCGACCGGGCCCGCGCCACCTCTGCCTTGGAGTTCACCGCCGTGATCGCAGCCATAGCACCGTTGAGCTTGCGACCCGGCCGGCAAAGACAGCCTTAGCGCGGATCCTGAGGAAAATCCCGGCGCCACCGCCCGCGCTCGCGCACCCTCAGCCAATCCTCGCCAGCACAGGAAGTGACGTTACCAGGCCTCGCCCGCACGGAAGCCAGAATCACCTTGGGTCAGGGCGCCAAGATGGCGTCCTCCGCCTCCGCTCGCACTCCGGCGGGGAAGCGAGTGGTCAATCAGGACGAACTGCGGCGCTTGATGAAGGAGAAGCAGCGTCTGAGCACCAACCGGAAACGGATAGAATCTCCATTTGCGAAGTACAACCGTTTGGGGCAGCTGAGCTGTGCCCTGTGCAACACCCCGGTGAAGAGCGAGCTCCTGTGGCAGACTCACGTCCTGGGAAAGCAGCACCGGGAGAAAGTGGCCGAGCTGAAAGGCGCGAAGGAAGCCACCCAGGGTCCGTCCGCCAGCTCAGTGCCTCAGTCAGCCAAGAGGAAGGCGTCGGAGGCGGACGGTCAAGATGCCAAAAGACCCAAGGCCTCCCCGCTGCCCCAGGTACAGCCCTCCACATCCGCTTTGTCCACCAACTTTGACAAAGCAGGGAAGGAGTCCACTAGAGCGACCCTCATTAAGGTTTCAGGACTCGGTTTACTCCCTGATTATGAAGATGAGGAAGAGGAGGAGGAGGAGGAGGAGGAGGAGGAGGGAGGAGAAGGGAAAAGGGGAGACGCCGGCAAGCAGCCGCCCGATGCACAGGGCAAGGAACACTCGCTTTCCTCCTCGAGGGAGGCAACAAGTAGTATGCTGCCAAGCGGCTTCTCGGATACAAATCCTCCCAAGGCCCCTTTAATTCCTCATTCAGGGTCCATTGAGAAAGCAGAAATACATGAAAAAGTAGTGGAAAGGAGAGAAAACACAGCGGAAGCATTACCGGAAGGCTTTTTTGATGACCCTGAAATAGACGCTAGGGTTCGAAAGGTTGATGCCCCAAAGGATCAGATGGACAAAGAGTGGGACGAATTTCAAAAGGCCATGAGACAGGTCAATACCATTTCCGAAGCCATAGTTGCTGAAGAGGATGAGGAGGGACGGTTGGACCGGCAAATTGGGGAGATCGATGAGCAGATAGAATGTTACCGTCGGGTGGAAAAGCTTCGGAATCGCCAGGATGAAATTAAAAATAAGCTTAAAGAGGTTCTGACTATAAAAGAACTGCAGAAAAAGGAAGAGGAGAATGTTGACAGCGATGATGAGGGAGAACTACAAGATTTGTTGTCTCAGGATTGGAGGGTAAAAGGGGCTTTATTATAGGGTTTCAAAGACCCAAGATTTCTACACCCTCTACAGTGGTACCAAAAGTGCTGTCTCTGGATATGATCTTGGTTACTTCATGCCTAACTGGGTTGTTAAGATACAATGAACCTGTGAAGATAGCACTTTGGAAAGTTGGTGTAAAATATTTTTGAGGTAAAGTTGTTTTTGAAATTTTTCCAGTATTACATACTATATTGCCAACTTTTTACACATTTACTCAACTGTATAATTTTGAGTTAAGTCTGTAAGCTGTAAATATTGTACATAGTTAAATATATATTTACTTAAGTAATTCTGTTTTGAAATTTATAAATTAATAGAAGTTGGGCTAGCAGAGAAGGCTTTAGGTGAAAATCAAGTGTAGTATTTGGGATGTATTTGGTTTTTTTCTTTTCTGATCCCCTAAATCAACTCAAGGGTGGAGGATGTTTTTTATTTTAAGAACACTACTCAAACACATAAATCAGGGCAAATCAGTTCTCTGAATTTTCTGTTTCAAAAATGTGCCAGGAGAACATGGTGAAAACATGCCAAACATGACCAGCCTCCTTAACCCAAAAGTTTCTCTTGTTTAAACCAATGATTCTTGGGTGTAGGTGCACAGGAAGATGACCCGCCAAGCTTTCAAAAAGGTGCATATGAGTCGCCTTGGAGCTTTTAAAAAATTCATGTGCCTGAGGCCTACTGCTAGAGACTCAATAAACCTGGAGTGGGGCCCAGGCATTTGAATTAGTTTTGAAAGTTTCCCAGGTTATTCTAATATACACCAAAGTTGGAGAACCATCTGGCCCTAAATCCAGAACACATATTTTTTCAGCCTGTTTTTTAAGTACTGCTTTTTATTTTTTCTAAAGATGTTCTTTTTCTTAAGTAATCTCTACACCCACCATGGGGCTTGAACCCACAACCCTGAGATCAAGCATTGCATGCTCCACCAACTGAGCCACCCAGGCACGCCAAGAAATACTACCTTTTATTTATATCTCATCTAGTCTTAAATGTTATTGCATCTTGTAGAAAATTAGGGTTTAGGGGCACCTGGGTGGCTTAGTCAGTTAAGCATCTGACTTTGGCTCCGATCATGATTTCGCGTTTTGTGAGTTCAAGCCCAGCATCAAGCTCTCTGCTGTCAGCACAGAGCCCACTCCAGATGCTCTGTCCTCTCTCTGCACCCCACCCCCCACTGGTTCTCGTTCTCTCTCTCTCTCTCAAAAAAAAAGAAAAGAAAATTATTGTTCACAGTTTCTATCTATTGCAGGAAGAGAAGTTGTTTTCTCAAGGAGTTAACAATTGGCTTGTGCCAGTCAGATTGTTTAAATCACTACTTTTCCCATTGCAGACAGACCTGTTCAAATAGGAAAAAGGATTTAGCAGTGTTCCAGAGGTAGAAATGCATACAGCTTACTCAAATGAAAGTCAGCAATAATAATAATAGCTAAGATATATAGTTATTACAGTATAAACCAGGCATGGTTCTAAGTGCTTTACATAAAGTCAGTCTAGTTGCTCTAAAGCCCAGGTTTTATGGAGGATAGTACCAAAAGATAAGGAATGAAAAAGCCTGGCTTGAATGAATGCTAGATGAAGGAATCTTCCTTTGGGCAACGTAGGAAGAGTGGAAGTTTTTGAGCAGAGAATTATATTTGCAAAAAAA